TGACGCGTGGTCACTGGCCGTAGCCGAGATAAGATAGGTGACGCGTGGTCACTGTGGCCGTAGCCAAGGTAAAGGTGCATGACCCATAGTCATGTGTTATGGTTGTAGCTGAGAATGATGACCTGAAAATGACGACTCGAAAGTGATGATTGCAACCTCATGAGCCATAACAAATGGAAGTCAGACTTCTGAGAGTCATGCTCTATAGAGCTAGGACCAGAACCAGTTTTTGTAGAGTTGATCGAATGCCAATTTTGGTTGCTAGAGATGCCTACCACAGAATCCCACCTTGAGATGCCTATAAGAAAATCTTGGTCTCTCGAGTCATAGCATAAAATCAAACCCCTTTGAAGGTTGTGCTTTGCAGAGTTAAGATTGAACTGAACTTTCATAGAACAAATGAGCTGAGAAGCTGATAGTTGATGGACGCAAGCTCTTGTAGATCGAATGGGCTAAAAAAGCCAATAGCTAATGGGCTCAAAGGCCAATAATATTTTCTGATGAACTGATAAGTTTAAAAGCTGATAACATATTTCTGAGGCTTCCAAGCCAAGGAGTTAACAAACTCATGAGACCTATAAGAATTCATTCTAAACATAGAACTTGACAAGATACCATTAGTTCATCAATAATCAATAATATATGAGATGCATCAACATTAAAGTGGCACAATAATTTAGAATTAAATATAAATGTTTGTGACATGAGTCATCAAAATAAACAATGCTAAAATATAAGTTTCAAAATATATTCAAGCAGCAAGTTAAGCACATGCCAAGTAAAATATGAAAGTTTATTTTTGTTGCTTATGTAAGTTTATTTTTGTTGCTTATGTATTCCTACTCCCCCTCTCAAAGAGAGATTTATCTCTTTAAGTGAGATTTATCTCTTTAAGTTAGAACCAATAATAAAACCCACCAGCTCGTGGATACCATTAGCTTGTGGATTATTCCACCATTTGCATGAGGCTCCACAAATGTATTAATATAAATAAATGTCATTTAAGCCACTCACTTTTAGTTGAAACATGAAGAATATATTGTATTCAATATATTTAATAAATAGGGGCTCAGCATATCTTATTGATGAATGGCCCATGAGAGGTGGAACACAAGATAGCTGGTGAAATGGCAAGCTGGTTGCAAGCTAGACCTAAGCTTAGCTGTCATAAGGATGAGCTCAAGCAGTTGAGTTCATTCAAGGTTTACCTCATTCAAGGTTTACCTCGTCCAAGGTAGTTGACCTTGGAAGGGGCTATCATGAGGATGAGCTCAAGCAGTTGAGTTCATCCGAAATTTACCTCATCCAAGGTAGTTGACCTCGGAAGGGGTTATCATGAGAATGAG